GAGGCAGGAGACTCGCTAGAGCCCAGGAGTTGGAGGTTGCTGTGAGCTGTGATGCCACAGCACTCTACCCAGGGGGACAGCTTGAGGCTCTGTCTCAACAAAAAAAAAAAAGAAAGAAAGAAAGAAAGAAAAAAACAGGGACTTTACATCTTTTGTATTAACCTTGATGGAGTCAAAACTCATTCTTCTCAGTAAAGTATCATAAGAATGGAAAAGCAAGTATCCAATGTACTTAATACTAATATGAAGCCACTATATGAAGGGTTCTCAACTTGTGGGCCGAGACCCACAGGAAGTGTATTAAAGGGCTGTGGCATTAGGAAGGTTGAGAACCACTGCACTAGATGATCTTTTTTTTGAGACAGAGCCTCAAGCTGTCCCCCTGGGTAGAGTACCGTGGCATCATGGCTCACAGCAACCTCCAATTCCTGGGCTCAAGCGAGTCTCCAGCCTCAGCCTCTCAAGTAGCTGGGACCACCCAGAGGTGCCCGCCACAACACCCGGCTATTTTTTGGTTGCAGCCATCATTGTTTTGGTGGGCCCAGGTTGGATTCGAACCCACCACCTTAGGTGTATGTGGCTGGCACCTTAGCCACTTAAGCCATAGGCACCGAGCCTGCACTAGATGATCTAATATACAACCATGTAAGAGAAAAACTCAAAACTCAATTCAAGTTGGGGGGAAGGGAAGGAGAGAGAGAAAAGAGAAGAGGAGACATGGGGATTGGTGTGCTCCCACTTAATGCACAATATAAGGTTATATGGCATACTCTTGGGTTCCAGATATTAATTATAATACGGACTCCACCGAACAAATGCAAACATTATAACCTAATTGTTGTACCCTCACATTAATCTGAAATGAAAAAAAGAATAAGCTTAAAAGAATAATCAGTTAAATCCCCAAAACTTAGAGGACTTTGCAATAAGTTTGTAAATAAATAAAGTCATAAAATCACATGCTCAAGGGCGGTGCCTGTAGCTCAAAAGAGTAAGGTGCCGGCCCCATATGCCTGAGGTGGCGGGTTCAAACCCAGCCCTGGGCCAAAAAAAATGAAAAAAAAAAAAAAATCCCATGTTCAAAGTTTACAAGACTGAGGACGTCGTAAGTTTATAAATAAATAAGTCATCAAATCACATGCTCAAAGTTTACAAGAAACATTGAGAATTAAAAGAAATAAAACTTTCCTTTAGCTTTATTGTAATTAAAAAACAAAGACTGGGGTGGCGCCCCTAGCTCAGTGGGTAGAGTGCCGACCACATACATGAAGCTTGCGGGTTCAAACCTGGCCCAAGCCTGCTAAACAACAGTGACAAGTGCAACCAAAAAATAGCCAGGCATTGTGGTAGATACCTGTAGGCCCATCTACTTGGGAGGCTGAGGCTAGAGAATCACTTAAGCCTAAGAGTTTGAGGTTGCTATGAGCTGTGAGGCCACAGCACTCCAGCAAGGGCGACATAGTAAAACTCTATCTCAAATAAAATAAACTTAAAAGAAGACTGTTTCTAATATTTAGACAGATAGCATAAACAACCTTACAAGAAGAGATGTATAAAGCACTAGCAGAACTGGACTTGTTTCCATTACCCTCCAAAGATGAAATGCAATTCCCTTGTTTAAATGATTATGAACAAAGTATTAAAAGAATTTTTTACTTTATACATACCGTATTTTCTTTCAAACAATTCTTCAACTTGTTTACGTAGATCAGTAATTCGAGCATTCCATTTCTCTGAAAATTGAAAGAGTTAATTATCAGTAATAAATCCCTATATGGGTGCTCCAGTATGTTCTTAAGATGACCTGATACATAATGACTTATTTCCAAATTATTCATTTTAACAGTCCATCTCAGTCTATATAATTTTACTACTTTCCAAAGAACTTTCCCTCTTTCTTTGTGGTTCTTAGACTTAGCTCAATAGGAAATTATAAGAGTTTTATTTTTTTAGGTTTAGTACCTCTTTTTAGCTTTTTAATTTCTGAACAGCAGAAGGTAGAAAAGACCAGTCAAACAGTACAAAAGACAAGCAAAAAAAGTAATAATAATAGGGAGGTGCCTGTGGCTCAAAGGAGTTGGTGCCAGCCCCATATGCCGGAGGTGGTGGGTTCAAACCTAGCCCCAGCCAAAAATGGCAAAAAAAAAAAGGACAGACAAAAAGAGAAGGTCTCCAGGGGTCATTTAGTAAAAACTTCCTAAAATATGTTATAGTTGCTTAAAAATAAGATATATAAGCTTGGCACAGTGGCTCATACTTGTAATCCTAGCACTCTCGGAGGCTGAAGCAAGTGGATTACTTGAGCTCAGGATCAGACGTTCGAGAACAGCCTGAGCAAGCACAAGATGCTGTCTACTAAAACTAGAAAAATTGGCTGGGGACGGTGGCTCACACCTGTAATCTTAGCACTCTGAGAGACTGAGGTAGGCAGACTGCCTGACTTCACGAGTTCAAGACCAGCCTGAGCCAGAGCGAGACTTCATCTCTAAAAAAACAGGCAGGTGTTGTGACAGGAACTTGTAGTCACAGCTACTCAGGAGGCTGAAGCAAGAGAATCACTTGAGCCCAAGAGTATGAGATTGCAATGAGCTGTGATGCCACAGCACCCTACCAGGGTCAACAAAGTGAGAGACTATCTCAAAAAAAAAAAAGAAAGAAAGAAAAAAAGAAAGAAAGAAAGAAAGAAAAATTAGCCACGCATTATGATGGGTGCTCATAGTTTCAGCTACTCGGGAGGCTGAGGCAGGAGGATCCAAGCCAAGGAGTCTGCGGTTGCTGTGAGCTAGGTTGATCTCACAGCACTCTATCCAGGACAACAGAGTGAGACTCTGTCTCAAAAAAAGAAAAAACAGGGGCTTGGCGCTTGTAGCTCAGTCGCTAGGGCGCCAATCACATACACCAGAGCCAGCAGGTTCAAATCAAGTTCAGGCCTGCCAAACAACAATAACTACTACAACCGGGGGGAAAAAAAACCAAACCCAGGCATTGTGGCGGGTGCCTGTAGTCCCAGCTACCTGGGGGTCTGAAGCAAGAGAATTGCTTAAGCCCAAGAGTTTGAGGTTGCTAGGAGATGTGATGCCACAGCACTCTATGGAAGTGAGACTCTGTCTAAAACAACAACAAAAAAAGAGCTCAGCACCCATAGCACATTGGTTATGGTTCTGGCCATATGCACTGAGGATGGCTGGTTTGAACCCGGCCCAGGCCTGCTAAACAACAAAAAAAACTGCAACAAAAAAATAGCTGGGCACTGTGGCAGATGCCTATAGTCCCAACTACTCAGGAGGCTGAGGCAAGAGAATTGCTTAAAGCCCAAGAGTTTGAAGTTACTGTGAGCTGTGACACCACACCACTCTATGGAGGGCAACACAGTGAGACTCTGCCTCAAAAAAAAAAAAAAAAAAGATACATAGTTGAAACTGAATGCTAAAGAATATAAACATACACAGCAGCGTCTGTGGCTCAAAGGAGTAGGGCGCTGGCCCCATATGCAGGAGGTGGCAGTTTCAAACCCAGCCTTGGCCAAAAACTGTGTAAAAAAAACAAAAAGCAAAAAACAAACAAACAAAAGAATATAAACATATAAAAACTTAACATGTGTATAACTTTAGTTTACATCCAGTACTTCTGATTGTGGCAAAGTAGAATATTTAAATACTATTTTCAAAATGGATACAAGCTGAATGTTCTATTTATTCAAAATGTGAATATAAAACATAATTCGGCACTAATATTTTAGTCCCTCAACAGGATACATTATCCATTGGGAGTTAACAGATCAATAGCTTATAGTCATACAGAGCAAAAAAGAAAAAAATACCAAGGTGAAATATTTCTTAACGAAGGCCATAAAGCTAAGAGAAGGAATTAAAGTACTACTAAGTCATTAATGCTAATTTAGAGTCAATTAGCTGTAATCAACATCAGAAGATACAATGTCTTATTTATTCTTTGGTAAATCAAAACTGTGTTTAAGCAATGTGTGTAATGCTACTTTCAAAATGCCCATGGCTTTCCAAAGACTATGCAATAATACATTTTAAAGCATTTCCTTCTGCAAAGAATACTATAACTTTTATAATGTAGTAACAGAGTTCAGAAGCAGATGAGTGGAATGCAGTATACGTAGCACTTACCGAAGTTGAACTCCCTCACTTTTCGCTTTCCAGCATTGGCAGGTTCAGTAACTGGAGGCTGTGGTGGCTCATTGGTCTTTGGTCTCTTAGTAGGTGGAGAATAATCATCATCTTGAAAAAGAAAATGACCATTACTTGAGGAACAATCTTAAATGAGTCATAGGCACCCCAAGGTTAAGTTCTAAACATTCAAAAGATAACCGGAGATTAAATCTGTTTTGAATAGCAATAATTATTTCTGTAGTGTAATCTTGGGCATATTTTTTCAAGTTACATTTCCAATTTTCCTATTCTTTTGAAATGGTCTCAAATCAATATTGCTCATTTTCCTTTGCCTTGCTTCATTTGAAATGTCATTATAAATTTCCCCTTCTCCTCAAATAATTTCCAAATAAATGCCAAGAAGTATACTAAGACTTTTAAGAAAAAGTTTTAATGCAAACAAGCACCTATGAGTATATAAATTACATATATATGGGGGATAAAATAAAGCTTAGATGGGAGAAAATACTTATACAAAATTCAAGTATACACAAACAAGGGAAGCTGGATAACTGTATGTCAAATATTTACGAAATACAAATTTTATAAGATGAAAGAAATGGGGCTACATTATTTATGAAACAGATGATGTTGATTTAGTCAACAGAGAATCTGTGTATAAATGAGCAATGAGACAGTCAAACACAGAGTTTAGACTACTTAAGGACACTTACAGTTCTATGATAATTTCTTTGCAGACATGTCACTCACTACTCAAATGTCCTGTGATCTTTCAATATATTTAATGTTAGAATTAGAGACATTCGGACCAAATAAGATAAAGCTACTATTGGAATCTTTTTCTTTTTTTGAGACAGTCTCACTATGTTGCCCTCAGTAGAGTGCTATGGTGTCATAGCTCACAGCAACCTCAAACTCTTGGGCTTAAGTGATTCTCTTGCCTATCTTCCCAAGTAGCTGGGAGTACAGGTGCCCACCACAATGCTCAGCTGTTTTTTGGGTGCAGTTGTCACTATTGTTTAGCAGGCCCAGACTCGGCTAGAACCAACCAGCTTTGGTGTATGTGGCTGGCACCCAACTCACTGAGCTATGGGTGCTGAGCCTATTGGTATCTTCTTATATTCCTTAAAAATGTCTGATTAACACATTACTAAGATTTCTAGTGAATCACAGAAAACACTGTTTATTAAAATAGTATTTAAAAGTCCAAATATGGGCCAGGTGAGGTGGCTCATGCCTGTAATCCTATACAGAGGTCCTCAAACTTTTTAAACAGGGGGTCAGTTCACTGTCCCTCAGACTGTTGGAGGGCTGGACTGTGGGCCCTGGGACGAGTCAGCTGCTAACAGGACAGGCTGCAGCGGCAAAAACACCCAGCAGGCCGGATAATTGTCCTAGGGGGACTGCATGTGGCCCGCAGGCAGTAGTTTGAGGATGCCTGTTAGAACCTTGGGAGGCCAAGGCAGGAGATGGCTTGAGGAGTTGAGACTAACCTGAACAAGAGTAAAGCCCTGTCAAAAGACCTTGCTAAAATGATCAAAGACCCTATAAATAGATTAAGATTCTGACCTAAGAAGATGTAGTTTTAGAAAACACATTAAGTATCATTTATAAGTTGGCCTTCAATTCTGAAAATATACTATGAAAACTCTACTTTTAAACTTCCAGACAAATTTTAGGGACTCCCAAGAGTAATTTTAGGCTGGTATCTAAGTGATAAAACAAAATATATTCACTAAGCAATGATTTCTAAAACAGAAGTACTTTCCCTGTTGGCTAATTTAGCCTAAATATCCTTACAGACCATCATTTAAACTGACCATTAACTGAATCACATAACATGAAAACTGACAGAGTATAAGGAAAAGATAAAGAAAACAAAATTGTAGGATATAGTAACAACTAGTAAAGGTCCATTATATTAATCTCAAATGTAATCTAAACTACCTATTCAAGACAGATGCCAAGGGGAAGTGGTAAGATAACTTTTCTTTAGTGTTAAGACCTCAGACTTAAAAAGGTCAAGGACACATCTCTTGAAGTGTTTCTTTTTTCTTTCTTTCTTTCTTTTTTTTTTTTT